TCTTCTGTCAGCACTTTTTAATGTTCTCTAAATAAGACCCAAAAATCCTATTGTACTTTTGCAAAGGTAACTTCTCAGGAATATGAAACAGTCTCTAATTATCTGGACTTAGGAAGGAGAAATTAATTGTCTTTTCAAACCTTGGTCTTTGAAAGCTGTGCCATATGTTGGATGAGAAAGTACTTCGCTATGGCCAAAAAATAACAGTTTCTGCATCAATTTTTCTTAGATAGGTATCTGTGTTTAGTATACTTAAATGTGCTATCCTCATGGGTGACTATAAATTTTTAGATTTTTCCTCAAAGAAGGCAATAAAATTACTTTTAGATTCTCAAACTGATGCTTCTACCCACTCCCGTGCCTGATTTGGGAGTATTGGGGTCTGCCAAGTTGCAAATGAAGTTACATTAATTTCAAAGTCAGCCCTGATTAGCTCTGCACAAGGTTTGTTTCCAAGTCATGCAATTTGGATTATCATTTGTAAGGTAATACCTGGGCCTATCAACATAATGGGATATTTTATCATGAACCTCCATTACATTTTGAGTAAGAACAGAGTTTTTTACACAACAGAGCAAAAGGAGAATTTTCTTTCACTGTGTTATCTTCTTACAAATCTGATTTATCTTGCCCAAAATGACAATGCTCTTGACCTCCTTAAGAATTATACGCTATGTTGTAAGCACTGATAGCTTTCCATCTTTTATCCATCCTTTATTCTGAGTCTGTGAACTCTGAGCTACTAAATTACAGGTTGGTAATCAGAGCAGAAAAAGTGAAAAAGAATACATGAACTTCTTAAAAATGCACTCAAATTACTTAGTTCTGCAAACCAGCTAAGTAAGAAAAAACCAGTTAATTCACTTGGAGTTCTTATTTTTTTTGTAATGTGTTCCTCCATGAGGAAGACTAGAAACACTGGTGGGATTGAAGTGGGGGGAAGAATGTGACTGGTGGGGACCCACTCAAGAGAGAAAGCAGAGATTGTAGGAGGACATGGAGGGGCTGCCTGAAGGATTGTCATATGGAAGTTTCATCTGAACTTTTTCTTAAATCTTTCTGGTTTTCCTCAATGTCTTTGTTTGCTGAGAAGTTGAGCATGCAGCCTGCTCTCTTGCTAGGCATCGGACCCAGCAAGGATGCTGCAGTTTGCCCTGAGCTGAGTTGAACCAAAATGGGCTCTGCAATGCACACAGCCGGAGGGTGAGGTGCCAGCCTCTGCTTCACAGTCATATCTCCAATATGGAAACAAAAATAGCTTTTCCTGTTTAGTTTTTTTCATTTATTTTGAGTCTATTCTTACAATTCGAAATAGCTGTGGCCCTGTAGGAGACATTCTGAGTGCAAAATAGAAGATGGAACCAACTAGTCACAGTAGCAGTAATGACTTGCAAGCTGGTTGCTGCGGATTGCACATGCAACTTTTTGCTGGCAGACAGGATGAGAAGGAAGAAGAGCTTGAGTTTGTACATTGTATCATAGCAGAAGTTGTTTGTTATTTTCCGTGTTCTACAAGGTCACATAAAGCAAGCCCAAAGTAGTAGCGCTGCCGTGTGTGCTGCCCAGTCAGAGGTTACTCAGTGGAGCTCTGACCCTGTCCTGAGTGTGCACAGAATGCTGGGTCTAGCTGCATGTTTGGACACTCCAAGAGTGCTTTTTCACTCTGACTCTATAACTTGTATTGAAAACCCTGATTGGCTTTTAGAGCAAAAAACCCTATGTAAGTAAATATATTCTCCATGGACACCCTTTATGGCAGAGGAGAGAGAAAAATCTGAATTTTATGTACAGTTGTAATTGTATAATTATTCTGAGAATAGACAACTAGGCAAAACCACTCTTTCATTTGACTGAGTAAGCTTTGAAAAGTAAACAGTGCATGTATGGAACACTGAACTCTTTTCATGTCAGTATTTTCTGGGTAAGTGTCATTTAAGTCGGTGTAAAAATCCTTAAAAAGTGCAAATTTGCTATTTAAGTTTCTTGTGCAGACAGTTGGCTCTCTATATGGGATGTATTTGTGTACTTAGAAAGTCATATTTAAATAATTTATTTTAGGCTGGTCATTAACTATGCATAACCCAATTCATGTTAAAATTCAGTTCTTTTCCTACTGAAATTTGGTGTCATTCTTGTTATATGCATATCAGTAAATTATGAATCAGTTGTACTCACATTGCCAATAAAGGCTGTTTTTTAAGACAATGAGATTATACAGGGACTTTCATAATTTTATTTAATCAACAATTAGATTGACGTTTGAGTCAGAAAGTGATTCAGCTTGCTTTTTTAGAGCTGTGTGGGTTCTGCATGACCAGTGAGACACCAAGCCTGCATATTTATTTCAGGAAGGAGAGAAGGTAGCAGATTCTATGTGGCTGGAGCAGGACTGCTGGGTAAGAAAGGATAGTCCTATCCAGTATACCTGGCAGTTTTCCATACTCACTTATCAAGATAAACTTGTGCAGCTACTGAAAATTTAACTACACCAAACTACTTTTATGTGCTTCTGACTGCTCTTGTCTCCCTAAAGATGGAGTTCAGCATGTACCTATTGTCCATATCCACGTGTCTCAAGACCAGCATATTTCACTTCATAAGACTTAATGCTTAATGAATTCCTGTTTGCTGTAGACAAGATTTAAAATGTTACCCCCACTCCCAGCTTCTGCTTCTGAAGGCAGGAATTTAAAAACTATCTCTGCGCTCTACCTGGAAAGTTGCCTGAGCACTGGAGTTGAATTCAATAGCTACTCAGGATTCCATAACTAGGAATACACTCTCTGCTTTGTGTTGTTATCAGAAAACCATTACTACTGTAGAATATAAAAACCTGATTAAGTTGTGGGGAAGAAGGAAGTGAGGCACTATAAGTTGTTCGTACGGAATCATTTGTATAGCATTTTATGTCGCTGCAATACTCAAGTGGGTGCTAGCGGAATATAAATCTCCTTTTCAGAATAAGAGAACTTTTTGTTAAGAGGCCTTATTATTGCACTAGCAGTTGAGGTTAAGTTAGTATATCTACTCTAACCTCATAGTTTTCACTTGTTAATGAAAACCTTCTATCATTTAAACTGAAATTTTCTTCTGTCCTTACTGAAACATGGTTTGTGTGGGGCTCTTTACTCTGGTCTTACTATGTAGAGAAATGTGCTTTCAGCTGAAGTGTTTCACTTCCATTTTCTCAATCTCACTAATTAAAATTGGAAAGTAATCTTTAAATAGATATTTTTTCACCATTTTTTACAGCTTGTAAAAAAAAAATCCACTTTTGTTTGCTTTTTTGGCATTCTTTGCAATCTGAAGGTTTACTGTTTCAATGTCTTGATGCTATCTTTCCATCCTTCTAATAGCTTGAGTTCACCAGAGTGCCCCCAAACATTAAGGCTTAAGAGCAAGTCCAACCACAGTATTTGTGTAGTTTTATGGAAAATTTCTGCAAGCTATACTTGTTGCTGTAACTAAGAATGTGAGCTGAGACACAGGGGTACTGGAGAATGAGACCTGACTGACATGGTAGTGGATCTTTGGAGAGCCAGATTGTAGAATGGCAAATCCCATGCTTTGATCCAAGGGGGAGAGCTGATGCTGAGATCCAAGCAGCCACATAGTGCAAGGAAGACTCTCTCTTGTTAGGCAGAACTTCAAGTGAGAAGCTGTGTGCCTCCTGCTTTTGATCAGGAAGGTGTTTTTCAGACACTCCCAAGGCTGAAGGCTGCTGAACTAAGGTGCAGTATTTATGTCTCCAACTCTTGGTTTGGGATTATACGCTTGTCACTATCTTTTTCACAGGGAGGTGAAACTACTCTTAAGTACTCCCCTGTCCATTGGGTTTGTCCATGCTGCTCTTCTCAGGTGTATTGGTTTTCACTGCTTTGCTAGGAGAATAGAGAATGTCCCCTGCCCTTACCTGGTGACTAAGACACTGCCATGAGGTGGAAGCATAAACTACCACTTTTGAAATGGAGCTTAATTAATTTATGGAAGGGATTAGAGGAGAGAGGGTTGTAAGGACTGGTGTCTGTGTCCCTGGTATTGCAGGCTCAATGTTCCTAATTTGGCTTAATGTAATCTGGTGTCTGACTGGCTAACCTCGTTACACTGATACAGTGCTGCCAATCCTTAGAGCCTCCCCTTTTTTTTTTTACCCCTCATTTTATGGAATAGTTGAAACTGTCAGAGAATGTGCAAGATCAGTGAAAAGCTAGAGTAATGATAGCGTGGGACTGCAAGGCTTATTACATTATGGGAGGAAGAGGACCACAGTATATATGCATTGTACTGCTAAAAATATTCCCTGTGACGTGGGACAGCAACACTAACCACATGGTAGCTGTGACTTGTTCTGGTAATGTGCTCTCTTGGGAGTATCAGAGTGCAGGATAAGGTTCCAGAGTGGTGGCAGAGACACAGAACTCAGAAACACATAGACATGACCTGTGTGACTCTGTGTGGAGCAGAGGCAGATTTGAGAGTCACAGAATTAATGAAAATGAACTGGGCAGGGATTAGAGCTGCAAGAGAAAAGGTGGGATCAGGTTCTAGAGCCTAGGAATCATGTCATATGGGATGAGGGCAGCACTCTCTCTGGAGGACTCAGGTACTGTCCTTCTGGGACATTTTGAGGAAGGCACTGCTTCGACAACGGTATGGACAAATAAAAGACTATCCGAAAAAAGCTGCTGAGGATAAAAGGTGCAGGTAGTGTATAAGTGGAGAAATTAAATGCATGCTGCCCAAAAGGCCTGCATGCTACAAACTAATAAGTGTGCAGAGCAGAGGAAGAAACTTTTCGGACTGTGTTGTATCATATAAGAGGAAGACACAGAATATGGGGGAAGTTTCCTGGTGAAGTCTGTCAGACAGTGAGCACATGCCATCACTTTGGCCTTGTTTTTTCGCTCTAGGGAAGTTAATCGTGCTTTAAACTTCTGGTTTTAGACATGCCTTGTGGTGCTCAGGAGTGTGCCTATCTTCCGTTCTTGCTTTTATCCTAGGTCCAACACGAAAAATGCCCCTGACTGCCAGTGCCATGGACTTCTTTCAGCTCTTTGTCCCTGACAATGTACTAAAGAATATGGTGGTCCAAACCAACATGTATGCCAAGAAGTACCAGGAGAGGTTTGGTAGTGACGATGCCTGGATTGACGTCACCTTGACAGAAATGAAGGCCTTCTTAGGCTACATGATATCAACCAGCATCCACCACTGTGAGTCTGTTCTCAGTATCTGGAGCAGCGGCTTCTACAGCAACAAAAGCATTGCACTTATCATGACGCAATCACGGTTTGAGAAGATCCTGAAATACTTCCACATTGTGGCCTTCCGCTCGAGCCAGACAACGCATGGCCTCTACAAAATCCAGCCTTTTCTGGACTCTCTGCAGAATGGCTTTGACTCTGCTTTTAGACCTTCACAAGCCCAGGTAAGAGTTAACCTGTTGGCAGGGAACATCCAATCTGTGCGCTCTTGGTTGTCTCACTATGATGGATAGTGCAGAGCATCACGACCTGAAGAAGAGCTGGGGCTTCACAATGTGAAGCCATGCTGTGGTGCCGCCATGAAACAAGAGAGAAAGCAGCACTGTCCTGTGTGAGTGCTCATCAGTGTCTGACTGCAGTGCTGCAGTGCATGCACCAAGCATGTTTCAGTGGGAATAGTGCTCTCTGAGCTGGAGCTGTTTGCTTTAGTGGCCTAAACATGCCTGGAGACTTCTCAATGAGGCCGGCACTGCTATGTTTTGCTGTCCTGAGGATGGGAGGGTACAGGCTTTGCCTGTGAGGGAGAGTGGAAAGGGCAGAGCTGATGCAGCTGGGCTGGAAGGAAAGCTGGTAGCTGCTTCTGCTACAGGCTGAGGATTGGATGGAGGAGCTGAGTTTGCAAGGAATGACTGTCCCTGACCTTAGCAGAAGGTGCTTGCTATATGTTCCAGTAGCAGAGCCACCTCCTCGCAACTGAGAAAGGGAAGATAAGCGGAGGGAGTGGTGAAAATCTTTTCTTAATATTCATCATACACTGTTTAAACTTTGTTCCAGTATAAGTGATCTGCTTTTGGAGCTGTTGCTACTGGTCATGTTCAGAAGTCTGAAAAGAAAATGGAATAAGCATGAAATATATTACCGCTTGAAATAACTTCTCAATCAACTCTCTGTTTTCAGAATATAAATATTTCACTTAGACATTTGGGAAGGGTATTGTGCCCATGGTCCTCTTTTTCTTCCTGTTTCCCTTCTGAAGCATCACATTTTTGCCCACTGCACAAAATTAATGAAGCCGTAGATGCATCACATCCATTAAAGTGTGCCTAAAATAAATGGGGAGTGATTACAGCTTATTTTATAGACAATAAAAATCAAACCTGTATAACTCATGAGAACACAGCTGCCTAAAAAGCTGTTAAGGTAGAGAGGGGAGGAGCGGGCGTTCTCACTAAGCCATGCCAGCAAGGTACATTTCCATTAAGACAAAACAGAGAGTGAGAGACACGGTATTGTTGGGGCTGAGCTCTCATTAAGGTATGAAATCTAATCTTTATGGCCGCTGACTTCAGTGGGCAGAAGATAAAGGCTTCAGAAATGCGATCACTGTGTCTAATGTAAATGCTTATAATGGTGTGCTGCGGGAGATGCTGTGAGTGAAAATCCATTAAAGGATAAATTTGATTTGCATGTATATCCTTTCTCCCATTCCCTGTCCTGAGCGAGGTTTGAGAACTGAATTGACAAAATCACAGCATCCTGTTTGCAGTGGCAAAGTATCTAAATCTCCACAAGCAAAATGTATGTTTGTCCTGAGCTTCGTAAGGAGATGCTGCTTAAAAAATATGGGGGAAGAAGTAGAGACAGCCAGTTCTCTTACTTCCCCTTCCACTTCTCTGCTCCCGTGTCAGTGTTTACGTCAGTGAATTCTGTGCAGCATGTTTCAGTGGTATTGAGTGGAACAAAAAGCAGTAAAATACAGCTTCAAAAATAACCCTGTGAGAAAGAATAAGGGTTTGAATCTGTTGTTAAAAATACCCTAGTGTACCTCCAGTAGCCTACTGGGGGATGTTCCAGGCCTCCTCCTGAAAGGAGCCTTCTGCATAACATCCTCCTGGGTGCCATCAATCAGGCTGCAGACTACCTATCTCAAGAGATGAGGACCCCATCTGCTTAGAACAGCAGGAAAGACCTCTCCCTGCAAATTGTCTTGAGTGCAGATTAGCAGACTGCAGTAAACATAAAACCCAGAATGTCAGGTCCAGTGAGAAATAATAGAAATAATTAAAAATAATAACCCAGTTGCACAGAAAAAAATGGAAAAGATGAGGGGAAAGAGCCATTTAGATGGGCTTTCAGATGTGCTGCTTCTGAAAGCAGTTTGGAAAGAGGAGCCCAGCTTTCTGTAATCGGAGATACCCAAAATCCCAAGTTCAAAATGGAATTGTTGCTTAAAGTACACCTGTATCTTAAACATGAAACTTTTGGTACCTGGGTGGCTTGCATTCAAGCTTTATGCTACCATCTTGTAAACAGCATCAAGCAGCAGAATGACTTGTGTTCCTTGCTGTTGAATGCAGCAGGGCTATTTGGGCTTGTACGTAGACTTGTTACTGACCTTCTTCCTCTGGCAGTGTGGACTCACAGAAGTTAGGAAGATACCATGTTTAACTCACCCCTATGGACAGAGCAGAGACAATCTGCATTCAGAGGCAGTGCAACATCTGCCTTCACAGTTGTTTCTTCTATAGATTTGATCTTTTTTTGGAGAGCTAGAAAAGATTGTTCAAGTGGAATTTCTGTCAGAAAATGCTTACGGGGTTTTTTTCTCATCTGTGACCCCTCCCCAAAATGTGCCTGTAAAAATAACACCACTGTTGCTATGAAAAGAAACAGGGAGAGAGAGAGAACTATGCCAATATACCAAAACAAAGAAAACAATCTAGTGAATTATAATTATTTTGCTAAATATACTGAGCAAACAAAAGAAAATAATTACGCTGCAGCTTATGAAAGAATTGAAAGCCCAGAACATTATAATTGTGTATCAGCAGTGCTAGCTTCAGTTTCTGAAGTTAAAAAATGGTGTTCTGACCTAGATTGGATAAAAAATGACAGGAATATTCTCTGCATCTTATCCTTCCTCAACATCTTCTGTATAAATTAAAGTGCTGCCTCTACCTGAGCAACAAGAGGTGGAGTTTTGGGTCTGTTCGTGTAATCAGTGTTGTTTCTTCACTGCTTAGCTTGGTAGCTGTGCTGCTGCTGTCTGCAAGCCTGAAGGCAGGGAAGATGCCCTGCCTGCGCTCAGGAGGTATACTGCACCAAATTCAAGAGTACTCGCCTGCCAAGGATGTACACTGAATTCTAGAAACCAGAGGAGTTCAGGGAAAATAACATCGCTGCTCAAATATCCTTCTGTGCCTGCTGAGTATTTATATGCTTGACACCAGGATGTGACTAGACAGGATTTCTGTCTTTGGTTACCCCTGACTGGTGTGGGAGGGGTCAGGAGCACAGCTCCAGGTACTCTCTCCTTCCCTATCCCTCCAAAGTACCTTCTCTTTGGTGTCTTGGAACCAAAGAGTTTTACATCTGCCCAATGAAATGTCAACTGGAAACGTTGGCTTAAGTTCCTGTCTCTAGCTGGAGTGAAAGAGAGGTCAACTGAACCTCTGGCTCCAAGGGCATGGTGCTAAACTTTGGCTTATTACTAGGTAGCTTGTTTGTGTTTCACTCTTGGTGGTATCATAGGGTATAGCAATTTCAACATATTTCTTCCAAACAAGCTCACAGATTGGATGACAGCTTCTTTGAAAACATAGAGGGGGAAAAACAGGCTGATCAACTTGCTTTTGTGTCCTCACGCATAAAAGTTCTTTTGGCATTGAGCATTTCCAAATTATAAGATCCTGCTCATGTCCTACCTCTATATTTCAGATTTTTTGTTTTCAAAATGATTCTGTAGGACTTGAGGGTGCTGGTTCCAAACCAGGACCGTTCTGTCTCAGGGCTTTTGTGATTATGACACAGATACATAAATATTCAGAGAACGCCAGGCACAAGATGTGGAGCAACAGAAAGACAGACTGAGGAGCAATAAGAATATTGAACAGGAAGGTAAATTTCTGATGTTCTGTAGCTCTTGGCCAGTTGATCCTTTGGTGAAGCCAGATTTTAGGGAGAGTTTGGCAACAGAAAATGATGAAAATTTATTGCTATTTTTAAATTACCTAATGGTAATGGAGTGCTGTAAAAACTGAGTTTTTGTTTTTTAAAAGCGTTGATTGAAGACTGAACAAATGGGCGGAGGAGCATGTAATCATGGCTCCATTGGAGGTGGGAGTTAACCTTTGAATGAGGGCAAAGAGGATCCATAAAATGTGGATAGGTGAATCAAGACTTTGAAAGTGAGAAGAGAAAGAATCTTTGTGATATATTGGAGGAGAACTATCAGAGAGAATTAAAGAAAAATGATGTGGTCAGAGTGATGGCCTAGGAAAATGGCTTTCCAGCAGCAGTCTCTAGGGCAGCATTGCTTTAGCTGGAGGCCAAAACTAAAGCTGTTGCAGGGTGATTGTGGGCTTGGATGTAAAGTTGTCTGTGTGGGTGAGTTGTTACTCTAAAATGAGTAACATTTTAGAGCTCTTACTCAGAAAGAATGGAAAATATAGGCATTGCCTGGCTTTGCAAGGAGTAGGAGGTAAAGAGTGACATTCAGATTCACTGGCCAGTGAGATCTGCAGCAGGAAGAGAGGGACGTCAGCAGTGACCAAAAAAGGAGATAGTAAGGGGGTTCTTAAGGGAGGGAGATGCTCTCAAATGTAGCATAATGAAATCAGAACTGATAGCTAGATGTACAAGCAGAGATGTCAGATACCAGCAAGAGAATTTAGTTTAGACAGGAGGAGCTTTGGAGCAAAGAAGTAGAAGCGCAAGCTACTACTTCAGAAGTAGTGACTGACTCTGTGCATACAGGTGCAGTTACCCAGAGGACTGTTTGCAGCTGGATGGTGCCCACCAAAAGCCAGAGACAAGGCAAGCTGAGGCAGTTTTTCCAGGAGACGAACTGAAGAGATAGCCTGTGCTGTGGATGGCCATGGAGCTAAGGAGAAGATGAGCTATCTCAAGGACATGTTGGCTCATTATCTAAGTAAAAGGAGTGCAGGAATTCCAAGTACAAGGCTTAGTGGTCCTGGGGCTTTGTCTACAAGCCTGTTTGGGCTGTGGTGAGAGCAAGATGGGTGGAACTTTGGCATGGCAAGAGAGTTGGAAATTATCTAAAATGGAGAAGAAAGGCACTCCTGACAGTGGCTATCTGTTTTGTTCTGTGAATGAAAGATGTTGCGAGGTGGAGCAATTGCTGGAGTTTCATCTTGGAGTCCTGCCTCTCTGTCACTTGGAGTGTATGTACATATTAAGGAGAAAACAAAGAGTGAAAGTTTAGCAAGTAAATCTAGCAGGGATGAGGATGACCATAAAGCAGAGGAAAAAAATGAGAAACCCAGTGTGATAGCTGTGGGGAAGCAAAGCAACTGGATGAGGAGCTTCTTAGACCTAAACAGAACTGGGAATTTGAGAGAAGAAAATGGGAATGATTTGTATGAAGAAATCCACAAGATTTTCTGGCATCAAAGGAAGTCAGGAAGAGGGGAGGGCTTGGGGAGTGAGTCAAAGATGGTGAAGAGGCGGCCAGGAATATGTGTAGGAGTCAATTAAGCCTGAATGTAGATTTTTATCAAGATGAGAAGCAGGAAAGAATATGCCATGGGGGCAGTAAGCTCACTCCTGTAAAAGTGTATATTTCAGCAAGAAAGGGGAATGGGGAAGGAGCAAATATCGCTTTGCATGGGGATTTGGCCAATACATGGATTTGAGATTACAGGAGGAGCAAGGAGACTGAGAATGCGGGAGAGTGAACAAACTGATAGTACTGGCCAGTGGCAACAGGGCTAACTTTTGTCATGACAAAACCATGTCAGTGTCAGAAGGAACAAATTGCTCCCTTTGAAAACAAGATGGGGATCAGCTGTTCCACCAGCAGGCTCAGCCCATAGAGCACTCTGCTTGCAAAGTTCTTTACAGCTGTTGAAGCAGAGGCTGCGTATGGAGGGGTGACAACACTTGTCTCCCCACCCTCTCTAATGGAAGCAGGAAGAGCAAGCTTCAGGGTTTTCATTTAATTTTCCTTGCCTGTCTACATTCCTTCTTTGCAGCAACAGCAAATCTTGCCCTACTCTGTTTACATTTTTGTTCCCTCTTCACAGCCATTCAGTAGAGACTTCGGTGGAGCATTAGTCTTCTTATGGAGAAATGACTTAAATGTTCACTACAGGGAAACAAAGGAGGGGAAGCTCTAGGTCCTAGAGGAAGGCAGGGCTGAGCATGGGCAGGGAGAAGAAGAAGATGGGGAGAGGCTTTAAAAATTCAGATTTGCTTTTTAAATTTAAGGCTGACAGGCCTTACTGTGTCATAGAAGGCAGAAAGAGTGTGAAGGGTAAGCAGGATGCAGTAGAGCTGCTGTGAAGAGAGTTGATACTGTGGTGCAGTTGAGGGAGAGAAGCTAGACTGAGGGTAAAAGTGATGCTTACACAGCCTTTTCTTTATGCTACTCTCCATCCTACAGCAGGGGAGATTAGTGGAACACCACTCAGTGGGATCTGGCAGGTAGAAGGCATTTCCAGAAGTGAGAAATTCTTAACTGTGTACCCAACCCCATCCCAAGGGATGTGCACCAGAGAGGCAGAAAGGCAAAAATGCGGATGAGGGCATGTTTAATATTTGCAAAATGCCATCAGAATCCTCTGAGGTGGACGTGGGAAATGCTCCAGGTGACCTTTAGAAGGGAAGGACCGTGTTATGTGTGGACCTTGAAAGAAGAAGATTTGGCTCCAGTGGGGAAGCAGGGCAGCTGCAGCTATGAAAACAAATAGCTTTGTGTGCAGCTCTCCTTTTTCACATCTGCGTTTTGGTGTATAATTTGAACATTTCACAAGAGTGCTTTCAGATGGTCCTGTGAATGTTTTATGAGTTGTTAAGAAGTGCAGTGCGTGTAAATGACAGTGTGCAACCATCACTTCATGGGGAGGGCACGGGTGCCTATTTTGGGTTGACAATGATGTTCAACAAACATCTTGTGTTCAGGAGGCCAGCAGCTGCTCATCACTGGTGCTTAACTGCTTACCCTTCACATCTCTCCTGAAAGCATTTTGCAGGTTTAATGCAGCTTTGTTCTCATTTCCGCCACTGTGCACAGATGCGCACAAAAACAGCACACATGCAGGCATGGAAAGGATTGATCAGGGGGTGAGAGCCTCTGAGCCTGTCTCCTGGAGGGATGGTCACTGGAGAAGAACATATATATATATATATATATATATGTGGGTATATATAATCCATCTGACTTAATTTACACCCCTTTACAAGGGTATAAACTATGGCCTGCTGAGACTGCTTTCCCCTCATGTATTAGGAGGGGAGCCTGAAGTTACTTGCTCTGATTTAGATGTAGATTTCTGAATTTGGTCAGCATTCATCAGCTGAGATCTTTCAACAGTTTGCAAGCCTTTGCCTTTTCAAAAGTGACTTGCTAGACAACTCGCATGCCATGCAGTGAGGTTTGTGTATGTTATGAACAGCTGTGAGGAGCTGCAAGGAGGTACTAGTAATTTTCTATAGGTGAGTTCCACAGTGTAAAACCTAACAGTTTTGCTACTGAATTAATGAAGTGTAACAAAACAGTTAGAAGGATCAGGGAACCACTTATATCATCTGGATGCAGAATGCAGATTGCTGCTTTCTCCAGTCTGCCTTGTCTTTTTCTATTCCTGCCTCTGGTGCTTTATCTTTGTCTCCTTTTGTCAAATTTTTCAGCTCCTGAGGGAAGAGAGACTTTCCCGAAGCTGCCGCCACCAGGAGAGCACCACCTCCTTAAGTGGCAGCAGAAAATATCTTTTTCTCCCTTAACTTCTCCCTCTCTTTGATGTGTATTTTCCTTTACTGTAACCAAGGAATGTACTTTACAATATATTTTAGGGGATGTTTGGGTGGAAGACATTCTTCCAAACAAGATGAAGCTTATGATGAAACTTGGAGAAGGATGCTGTTAACAATCCATTCTCCTTGCCCCATCCCTCCCATCATTTTGGAGGGATGTTGAACTGTAGCTGATAGGAAGAAGTGAGAGCCATGCCTTGCAGTGTTTGCAAACCACATGTAGAGCAGCTATCCACAATGGAGTGTGCTTGGCTAGGCTTTGGTTTTTGTTGGGTGGTAGCATGGAACAAAAGTGGGTTTGCTTCTTTGTATGGGGTGATGTGCCCAAGCACAGTGCAAGGGTTGTATTTCCTTGAAAGAAGTTAAAGCACCTTTTTTTTTCTGCAGTTGTGTATTCTTCTGGTTTTTTCCCCATCTCTTTTCTTGTCAATTGCAGGTACTACATGAGCCCCTCATTGATGAGGATCCTGTTTTCATTGCTACCTGCACAGAGAGGGAGCTGCGCAAGAGGAAAAAGAGGAAATTCAGTCTCTGGGTTCGGCAGTGCTCATCCACTGGTTTCATCTGCCAGGTGGGTTTTACCTCTTCAAATGTCTTGATTCAGTTCCAGCAGGCCCTTAAATGTATTGCAGGACCAAGGGTAACAGTCACTTCTCTTCATTATGTTGCCGGGGGCTACAGTCTGAATGCAACCAGCCTCTGACTCCCGCAGATAGTAGATCCAATGGACAGTGATGACATGTTCCTGATGCTCTGTTTGCTGTATGATTTAACTGAGAGTGTCTGTCTCTAGTACTGTCCATCTGGCTGCCAGCCCTAAGCTAATTAAATTGAAATGCAGTTAAAAGGTCTGTGTGTTTGTACATCCTAAATTTATCTAAATGGCTAGGTACTGTGACTTCTGTCATTTTTAATGAGTCAGCTTCCCTCTCTCTAAGTATAACACTGCATCTGCAATAACCAGTGGTGTCCAGCAAACTAAATCAATATGGTATCAAGATGTCAATTTTTCTTTGAGAAACATATTAATTGGGGTTCCTATTATGTATCTTTTCACACATTTACTTCTTGATCAAAGAAATAAAATTTGATGTGACTTCGAGGTGAAATGTGAGCTGGAGAGGGAGACATGATAAAAGGCTTGTTTTTAGTGTTGTGAAGCAATGGGAACATCTTTTCAAATTCTCAGATTGCTCAATTGCTGATTTATTTTCAGACCTCTTGAAAAATCTGGTCATTTATTTTGAAACCTAGAGGTCAGGGGGCAGATGTTTTCTGATACTTCTTTTTCCCAGGAGCTTTTGTGAAAAAAGTATACTTCAGAGTGGTGGTTCAGAGATGCAGGTAGCCCGTGCACATTGCTTGCTCAGGCTGAACGCATGTCAGAACTGCAGGGCCTGTGGATTTGCTACAGTTGGACATTTGTTCAGAGTAAAGTTTGGTCAGTGAATCATTACAACTGTTTGAGTAGCTGTGCAAGAAAAGAGGCTCGCTGGGAACAGGGATTTGCATTTTCAGCAGTGCTGTTCACTCTGAGAAGAAACGTAGGATCATATATCTTCCATTCATGTTTTAAAGCAGCTGTTTTGTCTGATACAAAATGGACTCACCTTGTGAAGCATCCTTTAAAGTTTCTGCTCTCAAGGCTCTTGGAAAGTCATTTTCTATATAGAGGCAGTGTTTTTGATCCCCAAGGAGAATTCCACTAGTCCCACACACAGTTTATTAGTGAAGCATATTGGGTATAGCGAGCACAAAGTTTGCTCATCTCTCTTGCCATGCACCCCCCAGCCAACTGCCACCAAACTAATGAGTCTTCAGATATGCCAGACATTTCATATTCTGAGCTATAATTATGTTGCACCTCCCATCCTGTCTATTGAGAGAGTAAATTATTGGAATGCAAAATTAGACAGAATAGATGCTCAGCACCACCCTAATTCTCCTGCTCCCTTAATGAATTAGATACGCATGCTTCACTTGCATCCGGATGATGTCCAGGATTATTTTACCAGCGGCCTTCTATTTCCATTCCATGACTTGGCTGTCATTATCAATATGCTAAAATGATTGGGTGAAAGGGACCTTAGAGAAGGGTGAAAAAGAATAGATGGGAACATGAACATTCATGCTAAATGGAAAAACCTAGTCTGGGAAGGATGGGCATCTTCAATTTTATATGCTGGAAATACTATGTTCATTTTTGTGTCACACTTATGAGCGATCTTGCAGAATCCAAAACACTTGTTTGATGGTTTGGTTTATTTATAGTATTGAAACAGAGGGGGTTTTTCACTGTGTTTAACATATGGAGAGAATTGATCTAAACTGGTAGAAAATCCAATGTTTTCCCCTTTGTGTGCACACCCTCCCCTTCATCTCTTGTGAAGCTGCCATCATGAAGGAAAGACTAGTTGCCTGTTAGTTAAGGACTGACTGGTCTAGCACCCTGTTTGTAACAGCACCTGCTGTTACAAAAACCTTACAGGACCCACTTGGAAATATGCAGAAATTCTGTTATACTGCCTGGATGAATTCCCTCCCTCATTGTTTCCACATAGTGACATTTGGGTCCTTTCATTCAAGATAAAATAGGACTATCAATACTTCAGAAATCAGGCTAATGCAGTTTCAAAAGTCTGAATAATATATATCTATAATAAAGTGAGACACCCAAGCAGATGAGAGAATTGAACTACTTATGAGTGGTTCTGAGGAATGGAAGGAACCTCAAGAGGTCTATGATGCTCCTGGCCAAAAACAAGGTCCTCTGAACCTGATTGATAAGCCTGATGTTAAAGAAATCTCCATTTGAGGAGACATCCTAGTTTTCCCAGTGTTCTGCTTTTCCTACGATGAAAAGGGTTTGTTGGTCTGTTTTGCTAACGTATAATGGCTATCACTGTTTTGAAGCCATATGCTGAGCTCCTCTGTGAACTCTGGTTGGCAGCTCACAGGTCAGTTGTTAATGTAAGGAATTTCAGCTGCTTGATTCCCCAAATTTCTCTTTCTGCTAATTCTCATGAACAAAGCTGAATCGTGGTTTTGGATGTGAGTAAATACTTCTGTTTGATGACTCATCCTTTACTTTTTTAAGCAAATGGTGTTTGGTTAAAAATCCAGCCCAATAAGCCATACATGGAACAGAAGTGGCGTAAAACCCAAGTGCTGCTTGTGGATATAGGAAGGTGTGTAAACTTATATATGCATAATGCAAATAATGTATATATATTAGACTACTTTTCTGTAGTACAGGTAACCTGACTCCGCTCTGACAGTTAAGTCTCTGTTTTAAGGTGGGTGCACAATTTCAGATCATATCTCTGCTTTGGAATTTCTCAAGCAAAGCATCTTGTTGCAGTGAATAGCTTTGTTGCTGAGTATCTTTTCACGGTCAGCTGGCCAAGTGGGAACATGCAGGAAGGACACATCGTTCAGACAATGTAAATGTATGTCTACTGCAGTTGGGAACATGAACAAAACCTTTCAGAGGGTTCGGAAGGGCTCCAGGAGAGCTGACTTTGGAAAAATAGATGGCAAAACTGCCCTGATACTGTTGCCTTTTTCATCTGCCCTTGGTACTGGACATCAAGGTGTCAGCAGCTGCTGCTGCAGGAGAGGGCTTGGGCCTTTTTATTTCTTTCCTTCTAATTCAATGAGAACAACAAACTCAGCTTGCAGGACCTCAGGTGTCCCTCTCTGCTGCGTCTTCTCTTTGCTTTCCTTGTTTCCCTCCAATCTATTTCCCTATATACTGGTTAGCACTTATATTTCTTTACTTATCACTAAGACACTTTTCAAACCAATATTTTTATGTCTTGATTACATTTTAAATGGTTGCAGTACCTAAGAAGTCTTTCTTTCTTAGAGCATTTGCTGAGTAAGTCATCCTATTTAAATCAAAACTCCAGTTGTGTCAGGTTTTTGTCAGTTTTTATTTCTCTCTCTCAAAATCTGGAACTCTTGCTTGTAAAAGGTGTTCATAAATATGATTTGTAAGAATCTTTTTCATTTTATATATAGCAATATTGCTCATCAAAAAATGATGAAGTTAGCGGCCAAATATCTGGTCAGGGCTAGTTACTTTGTTCTTTGTAGGGCACACTGTGCTCTCTCTTTGCATTTTTTGTGTGGCTCAAAAGGAATGAGTGTGGTTATGAGTAACTGTTACTAAGTTAGTTACTATGCCTAGTCCTTGCATAGCTCCTCTTGCACAAGAAGGTTTTCTGATTATTTTGCAGGAGAAGGAAGCACAGGATGCTGGTGAACCTCAGCACTGAACCCCATGGAGAGTCAGGCAGAACAAGCCTATTCCCATACTGCCTCATCCTGAACCACAGACACTTAGCACAGATGTAACCCTAAGACAGTCCCTGACCCAAAGAGCCATCAATCAACAAAATGGAAGGCAGTGTGTAGATGGTAGAGAGCACTGCAAAGTGACAGTCAGGCAATATTAATTACTGTGATAGGCGGTAATGGAATTAGCTCATCAACGTAATTATTAGCTTAAAAAAACTGATATCATGGTAAGAAAGAAATTACTTTATGGATGTGTATATCCTTCTCTATTCATTGAGATTAATTTTATTCTCTGAGGCTGTACTGTACACTTTTCCCTTTCCACACCCCCTTCCCTGCCCCCAGTATATGGGCTCTGCACTTGCTTTTATTCCCTGGCAGAAAATTCTTGCAATAATGCATGTAATTTTCACTAATATCCTTGTGAAATATGTTGCTCAGATTTATGAAGTCCTTTAGGTCCTTGTGCTGGGACTGAATTTCCATATTCCACTGCTTACCCTGAAGAAGTGATGAGTCAGAACAGATTAAGGAAAAGTACTGTGTATCTGCAGCTTGAGTCTTTCCATGTTCCTGAAGGATCAGTGACTTGCATGATAGCTATGTTTAAAGAGTAGAACTTGGATCAGGGTGGCCCCTGCCTGACAGGGTAAGAAAGGGTTCTCTCACCAAAGAACAGCAGTCTCAGTGAAGGGAGATGTTTAAGGTAACTCCACAGATCAGTGGCAGAGCTCTCAGTTGCAGCAAAAAAACCTCAAACAATGAAAACACCATGCTTTTATAATAAATGCTATAGTTCATTTCAGACAGGGTAAGTACAATCGGTTTGAATACTTTGTAACCTTGTTGATTTTACAGAGTAAGAATTTACTTCCAGAATTTAGAGAAACTGAGATTGTGCCCCAAAGAATTTATAATTTCACAACACACCACGTAAGTGTATTTAGTCAATGGGAAAGGGAGAGGTAAATAAACCTGGAGTGAGTTTTGTTTTCAAGGTCAGAGTTGCAGGAGAGTTAACCATCTGTGCATTTTTTTAATAAAGCTACTCAGAAATGGCAGTGTTTCAGCCTATTTAAGTTCTGTTTAGAGATTAGTCTGAGCCCTTGCATTTCTTTAAACAGTGCACTGATAATTCCTCTATTGCTGGAACAGTTGCACCTGGAACACACAGATGTAGCAGCTGCTTTGAGGAGGTTCTCAAGGTCAGGCTTTGGCTGGAAGGGGATCCCAGAAAATCTGATTGCCTTCATTTGTCAGTCACTGTTA